GAGGGAATTCTCCTTTTCCCCTTTTTTCTTCTTCTTCCCATCTTCTTCTCTCTCTTCACTTGAGTCCTTTGGTGTAGAATGAGGGCTCTATTTATAGTTTTTATGGAGTGGCATAGCTCGTAAATAGGCATGAGATCAGGGGCGAATTGGGAGTGTTTTGAATGGAGGGCCGATATCGAATCCTTTGATCATGCACCGTTCGTTGGGCATTTGAAGGCCTTAATGATGTCGGAATTTGATGATCTTAGGTTCGTTGGATTCTCCTCGTCGAGCCGTTTGATTCGAGTATAAGCTCGTCAAAATCAGAGACCGTTTGGTAAATAAGAGAAAATAAGATTTCATTTGGAATGACTTTTTTGATACTTTCAAAAGCAGCTTTCAATATAAAATTTTTATACTAAAAAAATTATTTTAAAAAATAGTAAAAAAACTATCCAAGCGAAGCCTAAGCGTTCGTTTGGGATAGCTTTCTTACTTCTTCTTAAAGCAATTTTTTAGCCAAAAAATTAAAATTTTACATCAAAAAATCATTTTAAAAAACAGTAAGAAAACTGTCACAAACCAAACCTAAGTTACAGCTTGGAAGTCATGAAAGAAAATACATAAAGATTTGTCATTTAATTTTTTCAAGTGATGAAAGTCAAGAAAAATAAATAAATTAATTTTCCACGCCTAATGGCGTTATACGAGCACGAGAGCCTCCGGTACTGCTACTGCTCTCGCATGCGGCAGAAGGCGACCGACCCGCCAGCCTCTCCATCAGCCCAATCGCCTACGCGTGTTACCGTTTTTTCTTTTTAGTTTTAAATAGTGTTTTTTTTTTGGGAAATTTGGGGCAAAAGCCCATATATTTCTATAAAAGAATATTACAAGTAAAAGAAATTACATGTAAGAAAAGAGAAACTGCCATCATAAGAATAAACATGCCTTATGATGCCCAAAATATACCTATACCACCCAAAATTTATCTATAATCAGTAAATGAGACAAAAAAGTGGTAAAAACCAGAGGAAAAGAGCATTTTAAGCAACAGAAATGAGTCTTCCAAAACAGCAAATCAGCAGGAAGATGAGTCCAAAAACTCCAGAAAAAAGTCCAGCTCTCAAGCAGCATGTTGCCCAATAAGAGCAGCGACGAAGTACCTGCAAAGAAGCATAACACAGCCAGTCCAGAATTCCAAAAAAGCCAGATAGAAATCCCACCAGGGCCATTATAGCTGTCGTGAAAATGTCTCCCTTGCCCATAGCACCTGGACTCAGATTTTAAAGAAACAGAACAATAGAACAAACACATCTCTGGTTGTCTATGGAGTCCCATAGACCGTCCAAGAGCATGTGAGGGGAGATTCATCATAGTCCAGGAGGGCAATTCTGCGCTAACCCACTGAGCTGTAGAGGCAACAAGAGGCCTACCAGCTACCTCGATTAAATTCTGTCCAGCAAAGCAATCGCATTCCTCCATTTGAAAATTTTTTCAGAAACAGCTCTCTTGATGCTAAGCGGAAGTGAAGTATGACATAGAATTTGATTTCCAAAAATTCTATTATTTCGCTCTTTCCACAAAAAGTAAATTATGGCAGAAAGAACTAATTTATAGAAGTTTAAGACATCCACATTACCATTAAAACTTCCATTTAGCCAATCATAAATTTGCAGAATATTCGGCCTAAGCAGAAAAGTGGCCATCCCCTTAATTAAGGCAGTAAGGATGGAGAATGAATAAGAGCATTCAAAAAAGAGATGAGACAGAGTTTCATCCCCATTTTGGCAGAGACAGCAAAGAGTTGGAACCATAATGTTTCTGATTCTAAGAGCATCAGCCGTTTTGAGACCCCCAACATTAGCCAACCATGCAAAAACAAAGAATTTAAGTGCATTCCTTTTATGCCAAACCATCCTATTCCAACAACAATCAGCATAATCAGCATGAAATTCATCCATGAAGTTTTTAAAATTGCTTTTCAACTTATCAAACCAAAGTAAACAAGGACCATCAGCCGCATTAATACTAATACCCGATATAACGTTAGTAAGACTAGAGGAGAAATTATCAGGTATAGTCCACCCATTATCAGAAATAAGCTTAGAAAGAGCAATGTCAGGTATGTGAGCAATAGACACATGGCCAAAAATTTCACAAAGATTTCTGTTATCAATCCAGTGATCCCATTTTAATGAAATAGGCCCAGATTTGGTGATCCTGAAATTGAAAGCATTCTTGGCCTTAATCGCCGTGTAACATATGGATTTCCAAAATCTGGAGGCAGTCGGAGGAGAAGGCTTCCAAGGAGAGCTGTATTTTCTAAACAGCCAAGCCGAGAGTGGAGTCTGGCTGTTGTACATTCTTAAGATCACAGAACAGTTGAAAGAGTATTGCATAGACATGATAGAGGAGTATTGCATAGACATGATAGAGGAGATGCCCAGCCCCCCTTTAGCTTTAGGTAAGCACACTTTGTCCCAAGCTACCATATGAAGCTTCTTGTTTGTGTTGACATCCCTAAAAAATAAAAATCTAGAACTAGATTTTTTGAAAACCTTATGAACTGCTTTAGGTAAAATCGCACCTCTAATCCAATAAGCAATGGTGTTTTGGATAGTGAATTTTAAATATTGAAGTCTACCTTCCATGGATAGAATTGTGGCTTTCCAACCAGTGAACTTCTTGTGGATGCTATCTATAAGCGGCATATAATCCTCAATTTTAAGCCTATAGAAAGACAATGGAATGCCCAGGTATGAAATATTGGTAGATATGTTATAAATGGAGAGAGCATTACATATATCTCTCTGATTGTGCACATGTTTAGGGAACATAATCGCACACTTCTCATGGTTTACATGCAGTCCGGTCATACAAGCAAATTCTTTGATAATGGAAACCAACAAGCTACAATTTTCAAGAGTAGCTTCTCCGAAAATGAGGACGTCGTCAGCGTAGAGCAAGTGAGATATAGCATAACCATTTAAAGTAATCCCTTTGAAACCTCTGTCCTCTAAAAGATTAGAGAACGCATCCATGACAAGACAGGAGAGGTAAGGACTCATAGGGCAACCCTGTCTGAGCCCAGCAGAAGAATGAAAGTACCCTTCTAGTGCCCCATTAATAAGGACAGAAAAATTGACATAAAAAATACAAGCTTTGATCTAGTTGATGAAGACACTAGGAAAATTTTTCTGAAATAATATAGCAATAATGAATTCCCGTGAAACAGAATCAAAAGCTTTCTTAATGTCAAGTTTGGCACAAAAAAAATTACCATTTCCTTTTTTCCCCGCATGGAATAAAATATCAGAGGCAAGTAAGATGTTATCAGTTGAAACTCTAGATTTAAGGAAACCTGCTTGATTGTCTTTAACAATGATATTCATTACTGGCTTCAACCTTTCAGCAATGACTTTTGCAATAATTTTATAAATCACATTACATAGAGCAATGGGCCTATAATCAGATATGTTGACAGCATTTTTGTGTTTAGGAATGATGGCAAGAACTGTAGATTTTACTCCATTAGGCATATAGCACTTAGCAAAAAAAAGATTTGACTGCTCTGCAAACAACCGGCCCTATAATGTGCCAACTAGACTTATAAAAGTGGAAATTGAACCCATCAGGCCCTGGACTTGAGTTAGAAGCACCCGAAAAAACAGCTGTTTTGATTTCTTCATCAATCACAAGGGAATTAAGAGAGATTTGATAGCTTAACGGTAAAGCAGCCCCCAAAGGAAGAGACCCAACATCCTGCTGCAAAGCATTGATAGGATTATATAGATTTTGAAAGTGTTGTGTGATGGTAGCAATCACAGATTCCCTATTGGAGGTAGGATTAGCAGTGAGAAGATTGATAAGAGATTTTCTGCTGCCCATTCTGCTCCTAATCTTCGCATATAGGAATTTAATATCATCTTCCCCATGTTTAAGCCAATTAACCTTGGCTCTTTGTATTATCCAAGAAGCATACATTTTGTTGAAACTAGCCAACTGCGAACTACAGTTTCTATAAGCAGTAATAAGCTCAACATTGTTATGATCCGCCAACAATTGATCAAGAATAATCCTTTGATTATAATTCAGATGATCAAGATGCCTTTTAAAACTATTGGAAGAAGCCCAGGTTTCTTTTTTGATATCACATTTAAACTGCTTGAGAGTTTGACACAAATGTGAAAGAGGATTGCCATAGCAAGGCTTAGAAAAACTCTCTAATAACATTGCCCAATATTTATCTACCTTAGTCCAATAGTTTTTGAAGAGGAACCGATGAGACGCCGGGAAGGAGCTCCCAGAGTGCAAGATGATGGGACTGTGGTCTGAACAAGAGGGATTTTGGATGGAGCAAAAAGATTCTGGATATTTACTCAACCAACCATCATTCACAAGAACTCTATCCAGCTTAATGTGGATAGGATTATCAAGACGTTGATTATACCAAGTGAAGTTGCAGCCAACAGAGCGAAGATCCTGGAGACCATTAAGAAAAATACATTCATTGAAATCTTTCAGGGCAGCATCAGTAAGAGGGGAACCACCAAGTTTTTCAGTGGCAAATCTGCAACAATTGAAATCACCAATGATAGCCCAAGGGACATGACTCTCAGGAGTAGCAAGAGAGAGAGAGTTCCACAATTCTTTTCGATCATTCATACTGTTAGAGACATAAACAACAGAGAGCTGAAAAAGGGTTTGATTAGCCACTAAAATCAAGCCAGAAATCAGTTGTGAAGTAATGACAGAAGGGATGAAAGACAATTTAGAAGAGTTCCATTTCACCCAAATTCTTCCTGAATCAGATAGATGAAAGTTATTGCAGCTGCTCTCACTTAAAAAGAGAGAATGAGAGAGATCAAATTGCGGATCAGCAAGAGATTGGATGTTAATCCTATTCTCCAAAATACAAACTAGATCAAGCTTAAAGGACTCAATAAGACGCTTAAAGCAAAGTACTTTATCAGGTCGATTAAATCCCCTGATGTTCCACGCTGCAACAGGTGGAAAAGACATCAAGAGTTTTGTTTGTTCTGGGGTTTTTTCCCCTGCTTCCCCTTTGCAGGTTTTTTGGCTGTCGTTGTTTCATTCTTCTTATTTTGCTTGCCCAACATAACAGGCTTTTTATCCTTCCCTAAGAAATCCACATTAGCAGCTTCATTGTCTAAGTCCTCTCCCGAGTTATTAGAATTATCCTTCATATCTCCTTCTGCATTTAGAAGATCAAATTTGTTCGGAGAAATAAAAACCTGCCCAGCCGAAGTGGTTTGAAGATTGGTAGAAGAAGAAGAAGACACAGCGTTAGGAGAGTTGAGATTTGGAATGCCCAAACTAAACTGGTCCCCAATGACAGGAGTATTACTAAGCGCCAAATCATAAGTTTTAGAGTTTAGTTTGTTAGAGGTAGGAGAATGCGGTTGGTAGTGAAGATTTTGTCCAGTAACAGAGGAAGGAATAGCAATAATGTTGTTGGCAGGGACATGATTAGTAGTTTCCTGAATGTCAGCTTTTGAAATAGGCATTTTCACAACATACCCAGGGTTTGAGTTGGGTCTACGAGGAGGCTTCCTGCTCATACTCCTACCCCTATTGTTTTGCAAAGTCTTACCCTTTTCAGCTTCTTGATCATTGGAAGCTTTCTCCGGGTTTTTCAAGCATGAAGAAGAGAAATGCATTAAAGACTTATAGTGCTGACAAGGAGAAGGATGCCATTCGTACTGCACTCTCAAACATACCACTTCCCCATCCAGCGAAACCTGTATCTCCTCCGGATAAGCCGCATGACAGTCCACCAAAACACAGATCCTGGCATAGGTCAATCTTGTTTTCTGCTCCGTCAAGCTATCAGCAGCAACCGATATACCGATTTTGCTAGCGATCCTCGATATTCCCTCGGAGTTCCAACATGCAAGGGGCAGGTCGTGTATCTTCACCCAAATAGGTACCGATGCAAAATCTTCCTTTTTAGGGACAAATTTTGGGTGCCACTTTTGAAGAACAAATGGTTTACCCAAGATAAACCAAACACCTCTCGACCATACCGATTCAAAATCATCAACACAAGAGAATCGGAATAGGAAAAAGCCATCATTTAGAGAAAGTAACTGAACTTCACCTTTCAAGCTCCAGGTTTTTTTAACTGCAGAGAGCAGGGCTTCATAATATGGCCGTCTCCCTATGGAGTAGCCAACCATACATAGCTTCCAATCTTCCCCACCGTGTGATAATTTCTCCCCAGAAAAAGGGATAATATCCGGCTCAGAGGGGAAGTGCGAGAACTTTAAAGGATTTGGAGAAGATTTTGTGGTCTCAAACATTTTGTTCCAGCTCTTGGGGATCACTCTAGCCAAACCAGGAGAGTTAACCAGAGGAGGGAACCCAGAAGAAGAGGGAGGAACAGAATCCATGTGTGAAGGAGGGGAGGAAGTTCCCTCCGGCATCGCCGGAGGGAAGAAGAAGGATGAGGAAGGAACAGCAGCTAAAATTACACTCCATATATTCCGTTTTAGATCTACTCAAGCGAAAACCTTTAGACTCTAAGGTTGACCTCCATAATTCAAGTTTACCTTCAACTCCCTCTCTAGTCTTATCAACAAGAAGAATATCATCAGCAAAAAGCATACACCAAGGTACATCATCTTGCAAATGTCTAGTGAGAACATCCATGACTAAAGCAAATAGACATGGGCTTAAGGCTGATCCTTGATGTAAAGTGGAGGGTTGCGTTAGGTAGTCGACAGCCAGCGCAAAATTTGTCGAACAAAAATGACATGAACGTAACAAAGTCCTGCTTGATAAAAAAGAAACTGTTAACACGTGGAAGATAAATCCTCTTAACAACTAGAGAATAATTCCCTCACTTCAGACATTTTGACAAAGGGATCATTAGTTTACTAATGAAAGCATTTGGCTTTATTTGATATTGCAGTGATGTGGACATAAGTAAATATTTGATTAAATTAATGTCTAGAGTGTAATAAGTGTTTAATTGAAATAATGAATTAATTATTAATCAAATAAAATAAATAAATTTCCTAAATATTTTTTGGGAAGAAATATAAACTTGGTTTAGATGTAAAAATTCTAAAAATTTGTAAAGATATAAAGATGCACATAAGTAGTCTAAGAAAGTAATATGCGATACAAAGATTTTAGCTTTTAATGTTCTATATAATAGATTAGATGCTACAGAGGGCAATATATATATAAGAGATAAGAGTGGTAAAGATTTAGTTAAAGAGAAGTGCATTAAGGATGAAGATAAAAAAGTGCTTTTATTAGAAGAGGATATTCAACAAAGATGGATGAGATATTTTACTAAGCTTTTCAATTAAAATTATGAGAATACGGTTGACTTTAGTGACCTTAGCACTCTAAATGAAAATAGATGTTTTTGTTTTTATCCACATATTAATAAAACCGAAGTTAGAGAGTGTTTAAAGAAAATGAAGAGTGGAAAAGCTGTTGGACCTTATGATATTCCAATAGAGGTGTGGAAATGTTTAGGAGATGAAAAAATTTCATGGCTTATAAAACTTTTTAATATTATTTTGAATATTAAAAAGATGCCAGATGAGTGAAGAATGAGTGTGTTGATTCATATTTTTAAGAATAAAGGTGATGCACAAGATTGTGAGAATTATAGAAGAACTAAGTTAATGTGTCATACTTTAAAACTTTGGGAGAGAGTTGTGGAGAATAGGTTACGGCGTAATACTAATGTTTCTCAAAATCAATTTGGATTCATGCCAGGTAGGTCTACTATGGAAGCTATACATTTATTGAGATGATTGATGGAAAGTATAAAGAGAAAAATGAGGATCTACATATAAGAAATGGGTTAATAATGCTTATATTCAAGTCATTAAGGATATATATATGTAGGAGCTATTACTTGTGTTCAAACACAAGGTGGTTTGACCAAATATGTTCCTCTTTCAGTTGGATTACATCGAGAATTATCCTTAAGCCCATATCTTTTTTCTTTAGTCATGGATGTTCTTACTAGACATTTGCAATAGGATGCAACCTGTTGTATGTTTTTTGTTGATGATGTTCTTCTTGTTGAGAGACTAGAGAGGGAGTTGAAAGGTAAACTTGAATTATTGAGGTCAACCTTAGAGTCTAAAGGTTTTCCTTTGAGTAGATTTAAAACCGAATACATGGAGTATAATAGATTTAGTGGGAGGATTGTGACTTTGGGTGATCAAGTCATTAATAAAAGTATATGTTTTAGATATCTTAAGACTATTATTTAGAGTGATGGTGAAATAGATGGGGATATTATTAGTAGAATTCAAGTTGGATGATTGAAGTGGAGGAATGCATCAGACTTAGTGTATGATACAAAAGTACCCCTTAAACCAAAGGGAAGATTCTATTAGATGGTCGTGAGACTTGCAATGCTTTATGGTGTAGAATGTTGACCATTAAAAGAGAAGCATAATATTAAGTTAAGTGTTGCAGAGATGATGATGCTTAGGTTGATGAGTTGCTTTACACTTAGAGATAGGATACGAAACGAGCACATACATGAAAAGGTTGGAGTAGCTCCAGTGGCAGATAAGATTAGAAAGAGTCGCCTTAGATGGTTTGGTCACATAAAATGACGGCCTTCGAATGACCCAATTTTTTTTTTTAAAGAGATGTACTGGATTTGGCTCATATTAAGAAATATAATTATTACATATCAAATCTATTCAGAAGAATATGAGAGGAACGATGAGGTTTTCATGGATTCTGATGTTCATGAAGTATTTAAGTTTTAAGTGAGTGTTTACCTTGAATCTCGTTTTAATAACATTTAAGATTTTGATTTATAATTTGTATCTATGATGATGAATCACGTAAATATATCAGTGGTTTATTTTATTTTTATCATTTTTATAAATTATTTTTAATTTTATGAGTTTTTTTTTTTCTTCCATTATGAGGATTATGCCTTGCCTCGCATTGATAAGACAAAACACCTCAATTCCGTGTTTCGTCTTTTTAAACTATGCACTAAACTATCTAGTTTTAATATTTTCCAAAATTTGAATACATAATTAAGACTAACTTAATGGTTAGATTATTCAAGTAGTATCTTGTATGAAAATCTCTCCAAACACAACACACCTTGGTCTGTTAAAAAAAAAAAAACTCACCTTGGTCTGTTGGTTGAGAGCTTAGACTACCAACTAAGAGGACTTGGGTTCGAATATTGTGTATGCGATGTGTATGAGTCTGCCTTAATTGGCCTGAATGTCCTAAAAGAAAAAAGAAAAAAGAAAATCTCTCCAACTACTCCTAGGTGGACTTACCTTGTATAAAATGTTTACAAAATAATGAAACTCTGCAACAAAGTCATGCCCCCAATTTTTTCCCTCTAGGGGTTGTACACATAAAAAAAGTCTTGTCTCATTTTCTACATATTTGATCATGGGCATGATACCAAAAATAATTCAAAAGAGATGCCTTGCATGTATGAGATATTATATTATTAAATTAAATGAATCAAAATGCCATGCCTTGATATCAAGGGAAAATGGGCATTAATTGTTTTTTCGGATGGGGCAATGCACTGTAAATAGTGTGTTGAAGCGTCCACAATCCATATAAGTTAATTGGAGGTTGAGACTTGAGATAGATGATGCCACACTAGTTTTAAATGACCTCATTAATCCATGCATCAGAAATAAACAAAAAAATTGGAATATTTCTTGGTTGAATTTGGGCTTTTTCGGCATTGGGATCATTAGTGTGAAAATGTGGAGCTCAATAGGTGTAGAATGTATTTGTACCTAAGATGTTTGATAGTTGAGAACTTAGTAATTGATTGGATGCTAAAAGTTATGATAGAGTTATCTTTACGGGAAAATTAGTTTAATTTCCAACTTAATAGTTCTTTTTTTGTACGTTGTAACTCTTCTCCATTCCCCTTTTACTAGGAATGCTGTTCTTTAGTTGTTGAATTACGTATGTTAAACAAGAAACTTGATTATCTGTTCTGATGGAAAAAGCAAAACTTTCTTCTGATATTGTTAATACTATCTCTTAGTGCAAAACTTATAAGGATTAAAAAGCACAACAAATTTTGTTAGATAATCGCATAGGGCGAAATTTTTTTCTGTGTTATTTTTCAAGGGTAATATATTTTAGTTAAACATTTATACTACTTTTTATAGTGAATTTATTTAACAAATAAGTTCAAGAACATACAAAAAAGATATTGAAGTTAAAGATAGCAACGTCATTTCCTAACTAAAATATAAAAAGAAATGTACATGATAAAGTGGTGAGCTGCGTAAGAAATAAAGTAAGAATAATAAGAAGAGCTTAATGGAGTCCCAAATTACACAGGAATGAGCATAAGCAAATACAATACAGATTCGTATAAATGACAGTGCTAATGAACTCACTTTCTCAATCATAGCAAAAAGAATTATTCCAATGATCAATCGCTTTCCAGTTATTTGACCTTTAGCCACCTACTGAGTGGGTAAAAGCTTATAGAGCCTCCACTAATGGTCAAGTGTCAGAACAATCATAGCCTTTTTGGAAAATATGTTTTCTGTCCACTACCAAGTATCATGTCATCTTCATGTATATCTAATAAATTTGTCATAAATAAATAATATTAATATTCAAGACTCGAGGCCATGCCAATGATGACTATTAAACTCAGGACTAACAAGTTTATAACAAATACTACAACAACAACATCAAGTCTTTGTCCCACTACGTGGGGTCGACTACATGAATCCTTTTTCGCCATTATGTCTTGTTAAAAGTCAATTTCTCATTTAAATCTAATAAAG